ATTCCCTCGTTTCCCTAATTTCTTTTGTTGTGCAGAAGCTTTCTATGATAACCCCATTTTGTTGTCTATGCTTTTGAAATTCAAGTCTTTTCAAAAACAAACCAAAAAAGGGGGGAGGGAGGAATCCATTATGTATGCTTAAAATGTTTTCCCAATAATTTCTAGCAATAGCTGTATATTTTCTACATTTAGTCTAATTCTTTTCTATAGGATTAAGCAAGAGTTAAGCCAGGGTTTATTTTGTTTCAGCTACATGAACACCCACCCAATAACCCAATATTCCCAACAGCCATTTACTGAAGTGGCAGGGAGTCGTCTGCCTAGTATTTTTTGTTTTAAATTACTGTCAAGAATCGGTTCACCACAGATGCTTGGATTCTTTTCTGGGATTTCTGTTGCATTGTTCTTTGCTTCTGGTGGCTTTTTGTTTGGTTTGTTTTGTTTTTACTGGTACAATATTGTCTTGGTAACCACAGTTCTGTTTTAAAATTGATTATTGTGATATTTCTAACTTTGTGTTTTGCTCAGCATTGCTTTTGCTATTTGAGGACTTGTGGGCCTATATGGAAAACTGAAGTTGAAACTGTAGTATGGATGTATTTTAGTTCATCTATTTCATAAACATGTGATGTCTTTACAGATTTCATTGTTTCTGATTTTCATTGTCAAATTCTTTAACATCCTTGGTCAAATTTGTCTAGGTATGTTCTGATACCTTTTATGATTTATTTTTCAGTAATTTCATTATTACATAAAAAAATTTTATCTTGAAAACCCTATGCAAAATTTGTGTAGGGTTTCAATCATGAATGAGTGTTGATTTTATTGAAAGCTTTCCTGTGTCTTTTGAGAATTTCATCTTACATTCTACTGATATCATGTACTATGATTATTGATTGGGACAGCTGAAACATCCTTGCACTCCTGGGATAAATCCAAACTGATCATGGTGGTTGATCTTCTTCATAAGTACTAAATTCAATTTGCTAATTTTTTTTCAGAATTTTTACAATTATTTTCACTAGGGACAGTTGTCTAATTTTTGCAATTACTATAATTTTTCATTGAATGATTTTGAATGTTTGGCAACAGCTTGGGAATAATTTGATTTCATCTCTGAAAATTTGGTATAATTCAGAAATGAGGTTCTGGGATTCTGAGCTTCTCCTTATTACAAGATTTTTGATGCTAATTGATCTAATTGTTGGTCCAGGTTTTCTGTCTTCTTACTTCCATTTTGGTAGGTTTTGTACGTTCAACAAGTCATCCTTTTGTTTTAGGTTTTCCAATACTTAGAACATCTCCTTTCTCATTCTGAGTGTTTTTAAAATTAGTCTAGATAAAGACTTTGATTTGTTTTCAAAAACACTATTTAGTCGATCTCTCTATTTTTAATTACTTTTATTCTGATCCTCATTCTAGTAATTTTGGGGATTGTTTTGTTCTCACTCTTCCAGTATTCTGAGATGCTTTGTCAAGTTGTTTTTTTTTTTTTTAATTTTTGCTATCTTTTTGGTGCAGGTACTTACTTCTAAATACTTCCTCTTATCACTGCTTTTGCTCTACCCTGTAATTTTTGCTATGCAGTATTTGATAACAAGGAATGTCTTCCTTTCTGTTTTGACTCAATGAAACACTGTTCCTTCAGAGGTACATGAGTGAGCTCTCTGTGCAAATGCAAAAGGTTATTGGAGTCACTCCTTTCTATTTTGTTGTAACCAGAAAAAATAATCCATGATTTTAACTTTATTGAAGTCAATAAGACTTGATTCAGGACATAATATGTGACCCATCCAAGACAACATTTCATGTGCTAATAAAAAATATTCTGCAGCTGTGGATGGAATGCTCTGTAAATGCCTAAGGTAATGTACCATTGATCTTTGATTGATGTATGTGAATCAACTGAGTATAGTGTATCACAATATCGCAGCCTTCTCTTTACACCTAGTAGTGTTTGCTGTATTAAACTGAGTGTTACAGTATTGAGTTTATACATTAAAAAAAGATTTAATAATTCTAAAAGATTTATTTATTTATTGGAAAGTCAGATATACAGAGAGAAGGAGAGACAGAGAGGAAGATCTTCCGTCCAGTGACTGCAACGGCTGATGTTATGCCAGTCCAAAGCCAGGATCCAGGAACTTCTTCCGGGTCTCCCACACAGGTGCAGAGTCCAAAGGCTTTGGGCCATCCTCGACTGCTTTCCCAGGCCACAAGCAGGGAGCTGGATGGGAAACAGGGCTGCCGGGATTAGAACCAGTGCCATATGGGATCCTGGGCGCGTTCAAGGCGAGGACTTTAGCTGCTAGGCCAAGCCGTCGGACTCCTAGAATCATTAAATCTTGTTGAGTTGATGCTTTGAGCAGCATAGCATGAATTTTAATTTTTGTCTTAGTTTTATATGAGGAAAGTGCTTCCTGTCCCACTTTGGATTTTGTTTGTATGGGGTATCTTCTTTCACTCTTGCCTTTGGAATTCCTCTCCTTCATCAAAGGTGATTTCTTGGTTGGCAGTTTCTTCCTTTCAAAATTTGTGGAATGTATCATTGAATTCCCTCCTAGCCTATGAGTTCTCTTGAAAAATCTGCTATTAATCTAATAGATGTACCTTTATGGGTGAACTGGTAGATTTACAAAACCATTGGACTTTTTGAGGTTGAATGTAACGTACTGCTTTAATCTTTTCTGGTCACATCTATGTGGAGGCCTTTGGGCCTCTCAATCTTGGATATCCCTGTCTTTCCATAGACGGGGAAATTTTCAGAAATAATCTCAGAGTATACCTTCCATGTGGCTATTACTTCTACTCCCTCAGGCACTCCCCAAATTTTAACATTCATTTAAGAGTGTTCCAAAGGTCTTGGACACCAGCCCTGTGACTGGAATGTTTGAAAAGACCTGTCCTAAAGTTCAGCTATCCTTCCTCTATTCAAGCTATCCTTATCTGTGGCTGAGTTTATTGTATTTTCTATTTAATCAATTTACGTCTGATTTCTACTGCTTCTTTTGAGATACTGTCTCTGAACTCTTCATATCATATATTCTATTCCTGTTTTGATTAGCATTGTACATCTGAGAAAAATGCCAGTTAAACCACGCAACACTTACAAGGATACACAATCTCCTTTTCAAAGTAGAATAGCTAAGTGATGTCTTCCTTTGGCATTATTACATTGCCTTGGGCTTTTTTCAAGTTTCTGTGCCCATAAATTGATATTTGAGCATGTGATAGGCCAGTAGGCTACTCTTTTAAAGGATTCCTTTCATTGGCATTGGACTGTTTTAGAGATAAGTCTTCTGGTGGTAGTTTGGTAGGCTACTTGGTTTCAGTTACAACTGGATGCTGCACTAATCTCTTAACTGTACTTGACATTAGCAGTGGCAGGGGTCTGAGGGGCTCTTGGGACCCAGTGAGATTCCGATCCCTGCCATGCAAGGGGCCAGAACTATGAGTAGGGCTGGCGCTGTGTGAGGGACACACGGAACCTCCGTTTTTACAGGGAGAGATCACGGTAGTGATGCTGGTGGTGCAAGTCAGCAGGGCCTGTGGCCTGTGAGGTGCTGCCCAACCGTGTAAATGGGTGTTACTGGTGAGTGCTGTCGGGGGTACAAACATGGCTTTTTCCTACTGGCTAGACCAGGCTCAAGTGTCAGGAACATGGGCTCAAAGTACTGATATGCATGAGCCCCTGGTGAGGTAAGTGATGCTCTCATGAAGTAAACAGGGAGTCTGAGGGTCAGCACCCTTACTCCCAGGAGCAGGCTCTTCATGCTGCTCTCACTCCCTTACAGGGCAGAACATTGCATGGACTAGGCTTCTAAGGTCACTCTGCTGTTCTGTCTAGTGGCATTTGTGAGACTGCAGTCTTTTTGCTGAAGAAGTAGGGTGTCTGTGGGGCCCCATGGATTGAGGGTTGCTAACCTAAAGGACAGTTTGGGCTCCAACAGTGACTCCTCCTCATGATGCCACACCTGGCAGCCTGTGCTTGTGTTGGTAAGCTCCTTTTCTGAATCAGAGCAACAAGTATTCTCCAGGTAGTATGCATCACAGGGCGACTAATCTGTGATGATGCTGGACCCTCGGGTAGAAAGAAATGTCCCCCAAAATTCATCAGTGTAGCCAGGATCTAAGAGGCTCATGTTGATGCTCTCTCCTCCTGCAACAGGGATTTCCTCTGGCCACATAGTTGTCATCTTGAGTTGATTCAGAAACATCCTTATCATTGAGAACCTATAGCTCTAACATCCCCAACATGAAAATTCAGTATGTTCTGAGCTGAGAAATACCACCACTGGAGAACTATACAATCTGAACCTTTGTTTTATGCACAATTACTATCACATGAAATTACCTTTAGATTTTATATAAGTTGTATGAATTATAAATGGATTTTATGTTTAGATTTGCATTCCATCTCAATAAGAATTGGAAATCTAAAGTACTTTGGTTCTAAGTGTCTTAGGTAGCAGATACATAATCTGTATGACTCTTCAGTAATTAACACACCAAACATTGTGAATCATCTACAATGCATGGGCAAGTGTTCCTCAAGAGCTATTTAGCCCACATGTCAATAATGCAAAGGCTGAGAATTCTTAATCTAGGAGTGTTAAAAATAATACGTATTTTGAGATGAAATAATCATTCAACTCCCATAGAATGAATCCAGCATTTCTAAGATGTCAGGAAGTAAAGGTGGCACTGTTTCTGAATTGATTTTCTCACCTCTGGAAAAGTAAAGTGATGACCAGAAACTGTACATTCCTTCCTTTTTAGGAACCACAACCAAACTAGTGGATAGCTCCATTTCTGTTAGCTCTGTTCAGAAACACGATTCACCCAGTTTTACGATCACAATCATATTACTTTCTCATAAGCCCATCTGTCACTGAAGAGTTCCCTTCCTCCCATCATGCACTCATTTTAAACTATTTTTCTTGTTTAACTTGTCTGTACCTCTTCATATTCATGGAACTCACCACCGATGTGACTAGGCATAAGATCTTTGGGTCAGGATCCATGATTGGCTCCTAGTTTTAATTCTAAGGACTCCTGGTGCATTATGCATCATGGGTGGAATAACAAATATATACAGTGCTGGAACACTGTGGTTATAGCTTCTTCCCACTCCTTTTGCTCAGAGCTCATTTTGTCCATCTTTCGTCATTTCAGTGCCTCTCCAAGCCCTTGTGCTTCTGTTACAGGGTCTTGGAGAGCAGCATTCTATTGCAAGTCCTAACAACTACTGTACAAAATACCCTTTAGTAAATTCCACCCTTTCAAATAATTATCCTATGAGGTGGCAGCAAGTATTTGCTCTCAAAAACATTTAAGTACCTGATGTAGGCAAAGTTCCAAACTTCTCTGAGGAAATAAGGGGAAATGAGGGTACAAACCTAAATAGTAAAATTTCGACTAAAAATTTCATTTGTGTTTCTGGCGGTCATTCTGTCTGCCCACTTCTGCATGTGGACTTAGAAGTGATACAACAAAAATCTTACAGGATTTTAGAGAGGTTCTTTTGAAAGGTAATAACGCTTTTTATTGCTGTGTTGCTCAATGCTGAAAGATTGTGGTCAACATCAGTATTTCAGACTGTGCAGGATATTTTTTTCCTTCAAGTATCCCCTTTTGCTTCCTTTAGTTCAACTCTTCAACATCAGTCAGTGCTTGGTGGTTGATTCTAGCAAGTCTTTTGCTTCGTTTATTTTAGTGGCTAGGTAAGGTGATCCCCCTGAGAGGAGAAAAAAAAATGGATTAACAAATGTCAATGAACTAACTGAAGTCCCCAATGTAACAGACCGATACATTTGTTTACTAAAATTTGTACTGTTGTTAGAAAAGTGGCATAAATATCCAACAGCAAAAAATAACTTGTGAGGAAAAGAGTTATAATCAGGAATAATTGAGACACTTGAACCATTTTAATGGTCAGACATTTATATTTCAAACATGTGACTAGGGAATTTTCTGGAACTTTGTTTTGTCCAGTAAGCAAAGTCAGTCTTTAATCATGTCTTCTGACTTGAATATCCATCTTTTTAAAGATAAGGATTAATTTGGGGGAGGGGAGGAGATGCACTGACTCCAATCTTATCAAGCCTTATGATTAAAAAATAAGACCAAAAAACCTCAGTCTTACTTAGTGCTAAAGTCATTTACTAATACAAATGAATGAGCAAACTGTTGCTCAAAGAGTTAAAAAAAAAAAGTAATGTTTAGAAAACAGGGAAGAATTTTCTTAAGTCAAACTATTACATATTTATATAATCCTGGATTCCTACTAACCTACAAATTCAGTCCTTTTAGAGTATTTTTTTTGCACTGAATTCTAAAACAAGAGGAAAATTAAGGTCTGTTTCAAGCACAGAATGATTAAAAACCAGAGCCTATTTGATATGTAAAAACACTAGTTCCAAACTGTCAATTAAAGCTATTTAAACATCATACCCTTTCTAACTTCTAATCCTAAAAACTGTCATTGCTCACCACTGCCTAAAAGCCACGTATGTGTTTTCATTTTGCACTCTTCCCTTAAATGCAAACCACCGACAGCAGAAGAAAACGTCCCAAGCCTACAACAATCCAAAAACCATCTAGATTGCATTCTGTAAGTAGCCTGTCTCACTCAGGCCATTTAGAGAGAGAAGCAGCAGAGGTATGGACCAACAAACATGGCGTTGTAGTAGAAAGAACAACAATTGAGGAAACTACATAGACGTTTTGCCTTTGAGGATAACATGTTTTCATATCAAGAGCTGAAGACCCACAAATGCAAGAATTACAAAGAAAGCTGTTCAAAGTTTTATGTACTTGTTAAGTCGCTTTCACAGGATTACTTCTGAAAATGTTGGAATGAGCTAATGTCAATCCTGATATAAGTAATATAAACTTTCAGGCTACCAAGGTGATGCAAACCATCTCAGATGTTCTTAAATATCAGTGATTGAACTTAATCTTGGACTGATATGCCTTCTGGATGTTTAGAGGTATCCTGGGGTTTCCCTTGACATTAGAGTTCTTGGGATGGTAGTATGGCTCTGTTTTTTAAAATCTGGGTAATGGCTACATGAATGAGATCCTTTGACTGACTTGTGTAAAGTTCTAATATGTCTACTGAACACTGATGTTACGCCACTGACATCTAGGTCAAGTTTGATGCTTTCCAGAATTCACTAATACTCAACAACCGTTATGAGCAACGTAATGATAAGTGCGGCAATATTGCTCTAAAATTTCATTTAGTTCTTCCAGCCATCCTGGACTGATTCTGTGCTTGCTTTAATTTTTGAGTTTTATTTATCTGCCCAGCACTAGCTATAGAGCTAACCTGAGTAAATCTGGGATGATTAGCAAGGCTGACTCCTGATCCTGTACTCTTTTTCACCATTCCACAATGCCTATTATTTTGTTTATAGGACTTCCTGCTCATTACACTTATCACATTACACATTTGGCTTTTGTAAAACTTTTTACTCAATTCCCTAAATCATACCAGGTTCTCTTCCTTATAGAAGATAGATGAATCACAGGATGATTTCAAAGTGTATGTCATTAGACAATAAATATTAAGGGTGACCATGACTTACATCTGTATTAGATGTGAATCAAGACATGTGCAAAGGAAGAATGAGTCACTATTCCATTATTTCCTTGCTTTACAAAGGCTGAATCATTCTTCCAGGTAAACATGAATAAAAAGTGTAGGTACTAAGTCCAACATCCTTTGAAAATAAAAGCACTCAAATCAGTAAGAGAAAGAACATACTACATATTTTAGCATGTTTCCCAGTCTAACAAAGGGCATTAATATCAATACCTGGATCTAGTATTAGTAGGCAAACACCAGCTGGTTTTCCTATTCGACTTCTCACTGGAAGTTCTAGCCAAGGCAATCTGGTTTTTAAAAATTGCAAAAAGTAAAACTATATTCGTGTCATGATCTTACACATAAAACCCTATGTAATTCATTAGAAACTATTTGAACTAAGAAATCAGATCAGCAAGATGGCAGGGTAAAAGATCAAACTGCAAGAGGAGCAGGCAATTTTGCTCGAAGTTAACATGCCTTGGTCCTACTGTAGGATGGCTTGGCTTGGTATGACTCCGGGTCCCGGGAAGTGGAGGTGATGGCTCAAGTAACCAGATTCCCAACTAAGGGAGATCTATGTGGTGTGAATGGCTCTGACTACTGCAGGCATCTGGGGAGCACACCATCTTGAGATTGGTTTGTTTGAAAAGATTAATTCTACTTGACTTAGATCTTCCCTTGGTTGGTTCATTCCCCATATGGTCAATACGGCCAGAGCTGGGCTGGTGTAAAGCCAGGAGCTTCTTCCAGGTCTCCCATTTAGGTACAGGGGCCCAAGCACTTGGATCATCCTCCGCTACTTTTCCAGGCCTTTAGGAAGGAGCTGGATTGGAAGTGGAACAGCTGGGACATTAACAAGTAGAGATTGGTCTAATATACTACCACACCAAGCCCTCAAAGATTTTTAAAAATTATATTCCTAAATGCTTGTAATGAGCAATCTAAGCATGGTGTCTTGCTCAGAGCAATTCAGATAGCCCCAACTAGAAGATTAGTTTTCATTACACCCTTTAAACTTCACTGCTTATAATTCTCCTGAGTGATAATGGTGCCCTTTTAAACACATGAAGCACATATGTTGTTTTCAAGAACTTCATGTAAACATTGACCATCCCTAAAATCTCAGGAAAGCCAGTTTTCCTGATCATCATTCATCAGCTTTATTTTTCCCTTCAAAATATATCCTGAATTAATTTACTTTTTACCTCCTTTACGATAGTCTTAATCCTAGAGAATGTTACTCATTTATATTACTACAAACTGTTCTGCTAAACTCTTTTCTTTCACTTCTGATTCTGTATTTTTTTTTTCCATAGCCACCAAAGTAGTTTTCTGAATATTCTCATAACACTTAAAGTCCAATGTTTTTACTTTGATTTGCAAGACACCCCATTATCTGGTCCTAGGATTTCTCTCCACATTTCCTACCTACCTTCCCTTTGCTTGCTATAAATCAGATAATCTTAATTCCAGAAGCATCCAGTGTGTTCTCATTTCAGGAGGTGATGTACTAGGAATAATTTCCTCATTTTTGCATGATTTACTCCCAAGTCTCTGCTCAAATATTCCCTCCTTATTGAGATGCCACAAGCAAAACTCTCGATGCCTTCCCTCTGGCTGCCCTTCTTTTTGTTGAAAGCTCTACTGTTGGAGGATTGCAGGGAAACTTCCCCATGCCAGGATAAATTTATGGCTAAAAGCAACAATGATTTTTAAATGTCTTATCATAGGATCAGATCAGCTGGGGTTAGAAGCTGCCTCACTAGAGTCCACTAGTTTTACTTGGTAGTACATCCTTTAGGCCTAGGCTCAGAAGTCACACATGTCATTTTTGCTTATATCCTGTTGGTCAAAGGGTGAGAAAATAGATCTTTAAAGAGGCCCACAAATTATTTCCTACTAGGCTATCTAACATGTTTGATTTACATGAAGTAATCAACAAATACACGCTTTATTTGCAAGGCAGAGTGGGGGTTGGGGGGTGGATGGGTGGAAGGAAATGGGACAGATACAGAAAGAGAAAGCTTTAACTGGAACTGGGCCAGGTTAAAGCCTTGAGTCAGGAACTCCCTACTGGTCTCCCACATGAGTGGCAAGGACTGTGCACTTGGATCATCCTCTTATGCCTTCCCAAACCAGCAGCAAGAAGCTGCACTGAGAGTATAGTAACCAGGACTCAAACTGGCACCCCAATAGGGGCTGATGGCGTGGCAAATAGAAGTTTACACCACAGTGCTGGCCCCAACAACTAAAAGCTGAAGAATGAATGACTATTGTTACAACTGTTTTCAGACTGCTGCTTAGTTTATCATTGTCCTTTCAAACCTGAGATCTAAGCTTAGGCATGGTGTGGTAAATAATTGCTAGCACAACAAATGAAGGACAAGCACAAACATTACGGCAACATTTAGTCCTTTAATGCAGCTTGAGACTGCATTAACTTCTTTTCGGCTGCTTTTACACTGTTAAGTCTTAGGCTTTGAGATCAAATACACCCCCCACGGCTCTTTCTTCATGTGAAATACTGCCAAATCTCTTTCCTGTATTTATACAATTGATTTTTGGGGACTAAAAGAACATTGCACTTATCCCTGCTGAATTTAAATCTAATCTCTTCTGATTCATCAGCCTCTCCAGTTGATCATTTCCATTGCCACTCAAATTTGCTCAAAATTACTCAAGCTCCTACATTTAAAATAAAACAAAAACAACAAAACCCACCAGCACTTTTTCCCTAGGCACCTGATCCTACTGACAAGTACTTCCCCCATTTGGCTCCTCTTTTCCTCACAAAAATCTCTGAAAAAGGTGAACTAGGTAAGTTAACTTCTTCCTATCTCCTAGCACCAATTAAAATTGGTTTTAAGTACATCAAAGTCTTAGTGTTATAAAAATACTATAGTTCTGCTTTTCTGTCCTTATTAGTGGTTCACACAGCAGGATTCGGCACAACTGGTCAGCCGCTTTCGGCCTATGACACTATCTTCTCATTTTCTTCCTTTCATCTCTTTTGCTGCTGCTTGCTTTTATAAAGTGGCCTTTAAATTTCTAAGGTCCTTACACCTGGATTTATCTCTCTCCCTGCAGTCACTTTCCATGACCAGTTTACACTGGTTTCAGTATCACTTCACATTGATGACTCC